GGAATCCGACAACAAGAGATCAATGGTGGAAATCGACAACAAAAAGTCCATGGTGGAACCCGACAACGACAGGCCAAACAGGTCAATGGTGGAAATCGACAACAAGAGATCAATGGTGGAATCCGACAAAAACAGGTCCATGGCAGAACCCGACAACAGCTTACCCGACAAAGTCGACCACGACAGCACCTTATCCAGGAATTAAGTCTTCTACCTGCGGATGTGAGGACGAAAGTTTAATAAGAGGAGTGAACTACTGGCTTGATGTTGTATTCGTTGTGGACTCAACAGACGTTGTGCGTGACGAGGATTTTTATGACGTTAGTATTGCAATTCCACAGTTCTTACAGTAACTGCCCTTAGAAGGTAGTAGGATTTCACATTTTTTTAATCAGTTTTCTATAAAATTTGTTTTCTCACAGATAAAAACGTTTATTTCCTTATTTGGAAACCTTCAAATTGGCACGGCGAGTTACGGAGACCCAAGATATTCCCGAATCGCTATTGTGAACGCAGGTGCTGAGGTAAATCAGTAATGTTTTTGAACCTGCTGAAAAAAAACAGAAAACAAAGCTGTCCCAGCGCAGTACTTATAATGACATACTCTTAGGCAGAAACAATTGCTGACCTTGACCGCTTCGAGAGCGGAACAGATTTAAAAAATGCAGTGGCACAAGAGTTGAACAAAAAGGGAGGGACGAAATTCAATATTCAAGCGTAAGTTTGTAGTAAAAATTTTGGTGATGCACCATGAAAACCTACTTTAAAGTCAAACTTTTTTGACTCCTGAACAGCCCTTTGGAATCACAGCAATCACTGCTTTTAGCGGCTTGGAAGCGGCGAGGGACATCCTACTAAGTGAAAGAACTGCCTCGAAACGCACTAATGTTCCAAAAGTCGTCGTCGTATTCTCAACTATCCCTACCAACTGTGGTTTACTGTTTGTTTTCTAACACCCTTAAAAAAACCTTGAGTATTTTAAAAATTAAAATATTTCTCTTGTTGCCGTTTCCACAGCAGTTTTGTTGCAGAGGAAAAGTTAATTTGACGAGGAGTGAGAAGAAAGTGGATGGAATGTGCAGCCTTGCTGCCTATCTACAAGAAACGACAACATTAATCACCATAGGACTTAAGATGGCCGGCACTAAGAATTTTCCACAAATCGATATAGCAGACAACTGCAACCGCTTCGAAAACTCAGTTGATATGATGATGAACGTCTTACGAGCATTTTGCAGAGGTTTGTTCATTTGTATGTTTATTACTGATTCCTTTTGACAACATTTTTTTCTTTGAGCTTCTTTACTGGTGCAGTACAATCGAGCGCTGATACAAAAAATGTAAGTAATCATTGTAACTATGAAAACTGTTGAAGGCCCACTATGTCATTTACCATTACAGCCATCACCGTTGAAATTAGAAGCTTCACTATAACTGAAAAACACGAATTTAGGATTGACGGCCTTCTAAATGAAGATAATTGCAGCTAACTGTCATTGTCCAACGTCATACAAACAGTTCGCAACTGAAGACCGATGTGAGCCTTCCGGAGAATGCGTTGCAGTCCACCAGTTGTCTCTACCATACAGATCTGCAACTGAAATTTGTCACCAAGACGGAGCTGTCGTAGCGGACGCAGCGACTTATAAGAAAGAGCGTTTCCTTCAATGTAATTTTTCTAAGTCTAAAAGCTATGCGAAAATTCGCTTGTTTTTCTGAAAGCTGTTAGAAGAAGCTCTCTGACATTGAGAAGACCTTAATACTACGTTATTTAGCACTGCATGCAACTGCAACCTTTTCACCTTTCTGGATCGGACTGAATTATATTAACGGAAAATATGTCTGGAGTAATAATGAAACTGTTAGTTTGGCTTACTGTGTAGCAATGAACCTTCTGTAAGAACTCTTTATAGCGCTATTATTAGCCTTGTTTAGCTAAATTATTATGACTACAACAACTGGTGCACCGCCGACTACCAGCCAAAAATCAGTAGTGGTAAAAATTGTGTTTATGAAGACCGTTGCGGTGAATATGCAACAGGATGGTTTACTGCCGAATGTGGGATGATGTTACCAACATATTATTTTGCTTGTCAGAAGAATGCTTGTGAGTTTTCTGCACATTTTAAGAACAAATGTTTTGGCTGAATGTTTACTTTTTTTTTTCAAAACTGTCTTAATTTCAGGTTCTGTAAACAGCTACTGTGAGTGAGTAGTCCTCGACCTTACTGTTTATAAAACACTGCTATTTTGTCAACAGACTAAATCGGTACAGAAAAGGGATCTAGCAACTAATCGTTTCTAAGCTGAGATATTTTTCCTTTTTCTACAATCTTGTCTCCTGTTTGGCGTTGTGAAACTAATGTACAGCAAAATAATTTCTTCGCCTCGCAATTAAATAATTCACAGCTAATAAATGTTTTACTGACAGTGTTTAACTGTTTTACACAGCAATCCTTAAATACACTTTATTAGGTGGTAATAAAAGTATGGTTTCTGTTAAATTTTTCGGAGGAAGTTTGAAGGCAAGATGACTACAGTAGAGAGAGAGAGGCTAGGGTAGAAACACTGAAAAAGCTTTTCAGGCCCCCTCCTGTTGAAATATGGTTCTAGGCTTTTGCTAATTCAATTGATGATCACGTATATATTTAACGTATACGCGGATTCAATTAAGTTTAGGACTACACAAATCATCACTTTCTTGTCAATACAAGACAGTCTACTTGTGATGTAATTTTTAGTAAAACAGCTGAAGCAGGAACAAAATGAATTCTACGATGAAATTGCTGGAAGACTGTTCCTTTAGCTCTAAAAAAAACTTTCTTATACAAAATTTCTCCTTTCGCAAAGAGGAAAGTTTTGGCTGAGAAATTTATGCATTTGAATAGTCGTTTAAGAGCTATTAAGAAAAGAGTGTGCTTTACATTCCAGTCTTCATCCACTGTCAGAACCTCTATTTTCTACAATCAAAAAACTGTCCGCAGACAGCTATTATGCACATATGTACAAAAATTTGTAGTTAAAGCGAGCGGCTGATGCTTAGTTCTAAAGCTCCCTCATTTTACTGCTAAGCTATAAAACTGCTCTCAAACGACACCGTCACCACAGGGCATATGTGCTTTAGAAGATGTACGTTTTTTCGTATGTCAGTAAGCAACAGCTCTTGCCCTTACCTTCATAGAAACCGTAAATTTTGAAAGCAGTTACATAACTTTCTAGTTATCAACTGATCTGCAATCTTCTCTTAGTTTTCAAGAAACTGTCGAGTGTACCTCTTCAAGAAGGCCTCTATGTACGATACTTACTACATTTCTAATTAAACAAAACATTTTTCTTGGTTGTAGACAAATTACATTTCCTTGGCTTGATAGATACTTAAAATTTACTCCCAACATTGCCGCGTATTCAACGGCATCCATTTGGTTGAGAAGCTTCATGAATTTATCTGAGAACCGTATCAAACGATGCAGGTGATGTATTTTAAAACCTCTCTGAAGTACTGCGTAAGACTTTTTTTTTCATCAATTTGTTTTCTGGTATATTTGCACCAGTCAAAAATTCTTCGCAAGAGAATTTGTGGTATGCCATTTTTGCTTACTTATCTTCTGCTTTCTTAACCTGTTGCGGTTCCTTAGGCTCTCTTTCGATTTGCCTGCGGCTGACATAAAAGCGGTTTTCTCGAACTTGAAGCGATAGTATGACCAAAACCGCTCTTTATGGACAGAATAGCACAACGCTAAGGTGTCCACAACAAACTTTTCTGCGCTAAATTATCAGCACTCTCAAATCAAAAAGATCTTAAAATGTTAAAAGAAAACATTTAAAATATTACCTCTGGAAGTGCAGCCACTTAAAAGCTTCTAAAAAAATTCTTAGAAGAAATACGTTTCCTTCTGAATCTGTAGAAAACAAACTGTTAAATTGCTAACAATTCTTAATAATCAGAAGTTGCAATAGAAATAATTATAGCAGCTGTATCAGAAAAAAATTTTGTTTGTTGCCCTTTAGTACAGTCTTTCTGGGTCGTTAGACGAGTTCTTAAAACAAGCTTATAATTCAGTATTTCAAGTTTAAGGCCCGCAACTGTGCAACTCTGAGGAGGAGTTTAAGGCGTCAACGGGAAAACCGCGCAACTCTTGGTGAATGGCCCGTAAGTGATTTATACAAAATTTCTGCGAGACTCAAGTTTTGATTACTGTACCTGAAACAAGTAAATTTTGAAGCTACTTGGGTCGTTTTTCCTAGTCCTTTGCACCACAGAGCTTTTCTTTCCTTGTAAAATGCAAATTTTCCTTTATCAGTTGTTTTGCAGCAAAAAACTACGAAAACGCAAAAAAAATTATCTTTTTGAAATTCCATACAAGTAAAAATTCTGAACAAAATTTTTTCGCCTCTTTCTTTCACCGCATCAGTTCTTCAATTCAGTTTCTGAATCTGCTCCGGTTTTCTGCTTCATCTTACCTCGCTAAAATTTATTGCTATAATTTCTAATTTCTTTACTTTTGCTCTTCATGTGCCAGCTCACCTCATATCTCTTCTTGCAATTTCTCTCTTATTAAGTCAAAAGCAGACAGGCTGAGTATTCCCCATACAGGACTGATATAATTGGTAAGCTCATATTAATTTTTCAGCATTCAATTTGATACGCAGGAAACACTAGGAACTACATAAACAACCTCTGCTCTGAAAACGTGTTTCCTATTGGTTCTCTAATAACGCATATTTTTCTAGACACTGCTCGCACAGTTCCACTGATTTTCCCTTATGCAATTCAGCTCCTATGAACAGCACCTTATAAAACTGCTAAAATATCAAAACCTTTAAGCCACTTTTTTCACATTTTATTTCCTTACAAATTAAATGAAACAGAGCTGCATCCAATTCCATTTCTGTACTTCAAACTGTATCCCGTTCTTTTTAATTTCACCGTAAACTAAAAAAAAAACGGCGGTCAGTTAAAGCAGACAGTAACTGGCCTCTCGCTAAAAACCTTCAAGTCAAGACTTCGCAACCGTTTTCCTACAGAACAATCACATTTTAGTCAGGCATACTAAAAAAACTTAAGCGAAGATTAAAGAGCTTCCAACGAAACAGCTAAAAAAAACGATTTTTGACCCAAGCGACAAATATATAACTAACTTTGAAAAACACGTCATAACCGTATGATTACGTAAATAAACAATTTTTCACATAGGTGTAACTTCAAATAATCGTCCTTAATGAAACTAATACTTTTTTTCCAATCAGTTTATCACTCAACCACTCCCATGTCTGACCAGTTACTTGCAAAAAAAAATGAAAGACGTTTTAATAGATATTGTTTAAATGACGCCCCAACGTCATTTTTATCCTTTGAAGGAATTTTATTGCCGTCTCACCATAAAAAGTTTTTTAGCAATAACTAGGATCACGTCATCTATGCAAATTTCGGTTTACAAAAGAGTAACCCCTAACCATACAGTAAACTTTCTTCCGAAGTAAGAAAACAAATAACCATAAATTCTAAAAAGCATTGGCGCAGTCAAAAAGGCGAGCTAAACCAAAGTGAGAAACCCAACAGCTTCTTAGAGCACAGTTTCTAGAGAAACAAAAAAATTTCATCATTTCAGTCAAAAAATTGAAAAAAAAAAGTTTGAAAAGACAGTAGGGTGAAATACCTTTTCTGTTGTTAAACTCCGCTTGCTTGCAACTACCAGACAGCTTGTTTCACCTTCACGCTATAAGATTACGCCCAGTTTAGAAAAAACTACAACACTTAATCCCCGTCTTTAAGAAATAGTGCTAGCTTGGAATCCTACGTGTCTAATGCTCCCAAAATTTTTTAAACATCATCAGTGAAGCTGATTTTTCATCTACAAAAAAAAAAAAAACACTTTCTGATTGAAGTCAGTAAAGCGGAAACCATAAATAAAGCTGAAGAAAACAGATTTGTTAGTCATAAAGGTGACTAAATTGTACCCTAATCAACTGAACATTGTACAAAAGCTAACTTACACAATTGCAAGTCTCATTATGAAAAAACGCGTTAGAGTCAAAAATGATTAAATGTAAACAAAACTAATACTGATATCAAAAACTGATGTGATTACACTGTACCTTATAAATAAAACAGCTGAAGGCTCGGCCTCTCCAGAATAGTTATTCTTCTTTAGCTGGCAGCAATGCAGTGCTCAATACTTACTGTGGTACTTCTGTACTTTTTCCTTATGACTATACATTCTTCGAATCAATGTAAGTACCGTTTTTCACAACCGGCAGTTTGGGATACTTGAAAAATTCCATGGAAATTACAAATTCTTGCAGATTAATTACTTTCTTTAATTTTAATTTTTCTATACAAGTCTTATCCAACGAGTTATGAAATTTTGTCTTCTGTCTGTTTTTAAAACTTTTTCTCTCTCAGAAAAGACAATTTTTACAGTGAAATAATTCTTCAGCTGGCAGTTGTAACAGAAGCATAGTAAATGTATACACCCTGTCTCCAGAAAACTTGTCAAACAAGCAGTTTTTAACTAAAACGCTTTCTATTTTCAGATAGTATAAGTCCTCTGCAAAAAAAACCCAACCATTTCCCTTCGCAACTGCATCCAGATTTTGAAAATAGCCTTCAAAAACTGTTAACAAAATCTATAACTGAAGTTTACGAAACGACACCAAACTGCTGTAATACAACCGCAACACCAACAGCGACGAGTACGACAACTGCAACAACACCGGGAGAGCATTCGCTGGTCAAACATTTGAACTGCGGATGCGAAGACGAGAGTCTTACAAGAGGAGTGAACTATTGGCTTGATATCGTGTTTGTTGTGGACTCGACGGATGCTGTGCGTGATTTGGACTTCAGTGACGTTAGTATTCATATTTTGCACGTCTTTCACTGAGTGTCTTTGGAAAAGAAGACAATTTGGCATCTTTTTCAACTAGTTTAGCTGAAGTTATTACCTTTTATAGGTAAAATCATTTGTTTCTCTGTTTGGAAATCTTCAAATCGGCACCGCAAGTAATGGTGACCCAAGATATTCCCGAATTGCTGTTGTGAACACAGGGGCTGAGGTAAACCAATTAAAGCATCTTTACATTTGCTGAAAAAAGGAAAAGAGAATACCCCAGTGTAACACTCGTAGCGTTATATTCTTAGGCAGAAATAATTGCGGATCTTAATCGATTCAAAAGCGGAACAGATTTGCAGAACACAGTGGCACAGAAGTTGGTCAAAAAGGGAGGGACGAAATTCAACTTATATGCGTAAGTTTCTAGCGTCAAATTTCACTTGTTTTTAGAATTACCTCGTTAGCCAGCTTATAAACCACAAGTACATTGACTTTTCAATAGTCTATCAAAACAATAATACTTTGGTTCTTAGTGGCTTGACGGCAGCTCAAGATATCCTAACAAGTGAAGACAATGCTTCACGCCGCATTAATGTTCCAAAAGTTGTTATTGTGTTCTCAACAATCCCAACCAATTGTGGATTATTGTTAGTTTCTTAACTTTTATGAGAAAAGCGTACATTTTTGCAAACAACGACGACATTACCTTAACACTGTCTCCACCACTAATTCTTTTGTAGAGCCAGAAACAGTTCAACGACAGGTGATCGAAAGGTGGATAGGTTGTGCAGTTTAGCTACATATCTACAACAGCAAGCAACACTGATTACTATAGGTCTTAAAATGGCGGGTGCTACCAGTTACCCGCATATTGATATAGCCAACAACTGCAACAGGTTTCAAAACTCGTTTGATATGACGATGAACGTATTAAGAGCTTTGTGCAGAGGTTTGTTAATCCGTTATTTCTGTCGCTGTTTATTTTTGATATTCTGGTGTTTGAACATATTGACGAGTTTGAGAGGAAGTATATATTGACACCATTTTCTTAGTTAATTAGTTATGATAACTGTGAAAACTGCTAAAGATCCAAAATCTCATTTGATGTTTAGGATGTTACTACCGTAATCACACTGTCAGATCTCTCTGAGGGTCTGTAATTTCCAATAATCATCGTTCTAAATAAAGTTCTTTCCAGCGAACTGTCACTGCCCTAAATCATACGATCAGTTTGCAACTGGGGACCAATGTGACTCTTCCGGCGAGTGCGTTACAGTCCACCAGTTGTCTGTGCCTTATGCTTCTGCAGTTGAAATTTGTCTTCAAGACGGAGCTGTCGTAGCAGATGCAGCGACTCATAGAAAAGAGCTTTTCCTTCAATGTAGTAATTTTGAACCATATATCTGTAGACTAACTTTTTTGCTTTTCTCATCAACTACTCAAAGAAATCTTTAAATTTTTACAAGTTTTAACCGCTTAGTAGTACATTATTTAGCACTGTATAAAGAGGCATACTTCTCGCCATTTTGGATTGGACTGAATTTCATCGATGGAAGATACATCTGGAGCAATAATCAATCAGTTAGTCTTGCTTCCTCTTTATAAGTAAAATTAACGTAAACTTAGAAATAATATATTACTAGGATTTTTTAGATATCTGAATACAACTACAATAACTGGTGCACTGCGGATCACCAGCCAAAAATCAGTGGTGGGAACTGTGTTTACGAAGACCGCTGTGGCGAATATTCAACAGGATGGTTTACTGCCGAATGTGGGATGATGTTACCAACATTTTACTTTGCTTGCCAGAAAGATGCTTGTGAGTCTTCCGGTTTTAAGAACTGAACATTTTTATCTATTTCGGACACTTCTTCTTTAACAGCTTCACTTCAATTTTAGGTTCTGTAAACAATTACTGTAAATGAGCAGTTTTCGATTTCGTTGACCGTGATTTTCATCTAATCCGTCAGTAGAGTGATGAAGCTTTATAAAGCTCAGTGGCCAAGCTTGGTTTGAAAACAACTGTCTTATTTATAATTTGTGTGATCTTAAATTGACTCACAGATTCACAATTTGGTTTTGCAGTGTCATAACTGCTATTTGTGAAGCTGTGCGTTCTTCTGCGATATAACATAATTGTCTCAAACTTTAATTGTGAATAAATGTTTGGCGCATGAAATTGCCTCACGCGGTGCCTCCTGCAGTTTCATTTACTACTGTCTTTCGAAAATCCTCATAAAACATTTTTGAGAATTTTATTATGAGGTCGGTCCATCAAAGTTCTTTTAATTTTCCTGTAAGAAAAACCAAAAGCTCTTGGCCCCGTTACCCTTCTAGCGCCAAGAAGTAATCTCAGACACGCTCTACCATTGGTGTTGAGCAAGAGACGACATGTGAGCTGCAGGAGTTTAATGTACTCTTTCGAGTTCTGTGGCTTCAGCATTTTTTATAAGAGTGAAGCACAAAGATTTTATAACGTTGTCTGATGTTTTTCACACTGCACTTATTAAGGCTCGGCAGAAGTCGGAGTAAAGGGAACATATTAAAGAAGAAAAAGTTGAGTTTGAGAAGCATCTGCTGAAGAGTACGAAGGATGTCTGAATGGAATAGCTGAAGATTTCCAACCATTCAAATTAAAGGAAAAAACCGCGAGGAAGAGACTTCGTAGTAAAAGAAAAAATGTGGATATTGGTTTCAAATAATTTAAGCTC